TCCAAAGTGGGGGCACTCAAATATAGGAGGTGTTTTACTGGCCAGATCATCAGGTGAAACCAGAGGGAAAACTATAAAAAAAAGAAAACTAATGCAGCCACCACATCTACTGATTAGTAAGCTGCAATTTATTACATTTTTGGCTTTGGGTATAGTACCACTTTATAGTTGAAGCTGCTAAATGCAGTAATTTAAATGCAAGGCTAAGCTCCACTACACTCCGCCAGCCCCTGAGGATCTGTTTCAGCAGCTAATTGGCCATCAGGTGGCTCCACCCTCTTGGAACGGCTAAAGTAGTTAAAGTGGACAAAGCTACAAAACAAATTCACAAATGAGAAGGATTATCCAAATCTCTTTGCCAGAGACCTGTTACTGGTTCGAGACTGGTCACCTGGATAAACTAGAGATGGGAGATGCAAACATGTTTTGTTGCTATAGTCTGCAAAAACTATAGATCAGAGGAGATGCAGGACAAACAGTCCTGGAAACAGATCAAGCTGTCAGCCCTGGCACCATTCTTTAGACATGTATTCTAGTCCTGTGCTGTGAAAATCCTGTAAAGTCTTTGTATGAACTTCCTGTGGACATATGTATGGTCAAGCAGCAGGTGAAGATTACAGTTTTATTGCAGTGACTACAGCAGAATTTGCGAATGTTATACTGTGCATAGCCATAGGTCCTGTTAGCCTAACTCAAGAGCATGCAGGAGACAGTGACAACACATTAGCTGAACTGAATAAGTGTTGTCACCCTAGGACAGGAAGTGTCTGTGGATACCCTTTACTGATATGATGTAACTGAAAGCAACACATTTAAAAAAAATTAATTGTTTGCATTACAGGAACAAATGCAACAGATTTGGTTTAAGTGCTTAGAAGCACTTTAGTTTTTTATGTTCACCAACTCTTGCTCCACTAATTGACAAGAGGAGACTCCCTTTAAAGCGGAGTTCCATCCAAAAGTAGAAGTTCCGCTTGTTTGACTCCTCCCCCCTCCACCGCTATATTTGTCACCTTTTGGGGAGAGCGGGTACCTGGTTTTGACAGGCACCCGCTCCCACTTCCAGCTCAGTTTGCCACGGCAAACTGAGCCGGAAGTTCGGCCCTCTCCTTCCTTACGCAGTCTCCTGGGACCTTTCACAGGTCCCAGAAGACAGCTGGACCAATCAGGAGACGCAGCGCGAATCGCGCATGCACAGTGGGCGCCCAGCTATGAAGCCGCAAGCTGTCACAGCCTGGTTCCCACAGATGAGATGCCGGGGCCGTGGAGGAGAGAAGGGACGGTGCGGGTGAGCACATTGCTGGACCCTGGGACAGGTGTGTGTTTATTAAGTCAGCAGATACAGTTTTTGTATCTGCTGACTTTTAATAAACACAAAAACGGCTGGAACTCGGTTTTAATTTTCATTAAAAATGAAATACTTATCCTATTTATTAAAAAAGTAGAAGTATTTGTTTTAAATCAAGCCTGAATCAAAAAGTTTAGTTCCATGCCAAGGAGGTGATCTTTGAAGTTGCTTTCAGCAAAATGTCATACTCGATCAAAATAATTTCTGAAAGATAAACATCAAGAATAGGTTGCAAATGGCGCAGCTAAATAAACCTCCCCTTATCTGCCTGAGATGATCTAAGGATCCAGGCAGCACGAGCTGATCACGCATCAGTGGTTTGAACATGTTCCACATTCTTCGGCATATTTATCATGTCAACCAAAAATAAGGTTCCATAAGAACAGAGAACTCATCAAAGTCTTTTATTACAAAGCTCTCTGATAAACACACCATGGAGAGCCTCATAAAATAAATTTTTTTTAAAAAAATTAAAAAACTCTGGGGACTTCTCATAGTAATAGACCAGTGTGATTGGGCTATGGAAGAAGTGGACTCACGTACCCCATACTAGTCTCAAGGCATGAAACAGTTATGCCATTGTTCCCCTAGAACTAGTATATATTGGCACACCAGTTGGGGAATGGATTCTATTACAGCTAAATCACACAGCTGATTTGTTTAATGATGGATTGCTTTACTAATAAAGTGAAACTCTTTATGGCTTGGCTACATTTTATTCAAATTATTTGGTTTATACAGTTTTTAATGTTATATTTTTTCCAGAAAAAAAAAAAAAAAAACACATAAAAATTCTGAAACCAAACACACACGTGACAGCCACAAGGTATGACCACTGACAGGTAAAGTGATGAATGACATTTATTATCTCATTAAATGGCACCTGAAAGTAGGTGGGATATATTAGGCAGCAAGTGAAAATGTTGTCGCTGAAGTTGATTTGTTGAAAGCCAAAAAACGGGCAAGCTTGAGCATTTGAGCAACTTACGAAGGCCAAATTGTAATGGCTAGACAGGCTGGTCAGAGCACCTCCAAAACTGCAGCTCTTGTGTGATGTTCCTGGTCTGCAGCGATCAAGACCAACCAAAAGTGGTCCAATGAAAGGGTACTGGTAGCAGGGTACTACAGTACACACTTTGTTCAACAGTACAAAGCTTCGAAAATGGGCGATGATAGGAACCCCGGAAACTGGTTAGGTATTTTTACGATATAGGAGTCTGAAAAAATTAAACCTGAACTGTATACAGTACATTCTGCTTTTTGTGTTTTTTAATCATCCCTACTATATCCAAAATAGAAAAAAAAAAATTTGGCATATATATATATATATATATATATATATATATATATATATATATATATATATATATATATATATATATATATATATATATATATATATATATATACTGAGGTTTAGGTTTCAAGGGAGAAGGGCGATAACTGAGGAACTAAACCAATCGATTTAACAGTTTCATCAAACATTTCCATTCAAGGCATACCAGGAATGATACCCGTCACAGTCCTTTCTGCACAGAACCACACTGCCAAGCCATCCAATGGCTGGTGTCATACCTGAGCACATGTGCAGCACCATGGCAACTGCAGATCAAACAGAGGCTATGATGGCAGCTTCCTTGGCTGTAAAGAGTAGGAGGGTCTAGGAAGGCCATACATTATACATTTTTTTTTTCCTTTCAGCCAGTGGGTTGAATGAAAAAATGTGCCAATTCCTCCATCCACACCTTCAAGGTGGATGGGGGAATCGCTCCCGCTGTGGTATAGTTTTCTCACGGTGGGGAGCCTTCCCCACCTTCAGAATACAATAATCGGTGTTGCTGGATATAGCTGTCAACACTGATCATTCGGGGAAAAACCCAATAGGGTGGTTGTACAGAAGCTGAATGATGGATAACCTTCTGTACAACCAGGGTGCCCATATATGGATCTGTATTCTGTCCTGTCCCTGCTGAAACCGGCCAACTTTCGATCCATGTATGGCTGGCTTTAGTTTCACTCTAAGGCACTTTAAAGTGATTCTAAAGGTTCAAGGTTTTTCAACTGCATGCATTCTATGCATGAAGGTAAAAATCCTTCTGTGTGCAGAATTACCCCCAGCCTCCCCCTCCCTAATCCTTACCTGAGCCCCCTCCAATCCAGAGATGTTCAAAATAGCCTCGGCTGTATGGGGACTCTCCCTTCTCATTGGCTGAGACAGCAGCGGGAGCCGTGGCTCCATGTGTCCTATGTATGCATAGAGCAGCAGCTTGAGAGCAAGCACGTAGCGATGCCCCCAAGGCAAGCAGCTTTCCCTGGGGGCACTATTAGAAGGGGAGGAGCCTGAGGGCCACCGGGGGAACCGGAAAGAAGAGGTTTGGGGCAGCTGTGTGCAATACTACTGCACAGAGCAGGTAAGTATGACATGTTTGTTATATATATATATATATATATATATATATATATATATATATATATATATATATATATATATATAAAATTAAGCTTTAGTATCACTTTAAGGTGTTTAGGTTAAAGCTGAACTCTGGTCAGCTGTAAAAACTACTCTGTAAAAATTACATTCTCCACTATCCCACACTGCAAGGGTTACATTCTCATTCTGTCTAGGGGTAGGAAGAACCATTGATTAATATATACCTTTCTCTCATGGCTGGCTTCTCTCTGCAGGCCCAGAATGTCCTCTAATGCAGTGCAGGACCACAATAGTATTTAATTTTTGTTATGCTTTTTTTTTTTCTGCCCTACGTTGGACATTACATGTTAGGGGATCTAACCTTCGCCTACTTTATTATCTAAAACTAATAAAAATAAAAATAATTTGACAATATTTTCACTTCTGGTTCACACTGATGTAGTGAGATTTCTGTGCGTTTTCAAGCGCGATTTCAGAAGCAGTTGTGCTGCAATTTTGCAGTGATTCTGTTGCGATTTTACACAGCTGCAATTTCTGTTCTGGCTGATTCTGTGACATTAGAAATAGGTGTATCTCGCACTGAAATCACATTGTATTTGAACACCTATGCGTTGTTACTGCGCTTTCCATTAAAGTCTATGGAGTAAAAAATGCATCGCATCACACCAAACATGCACAGGACCCTTTTGGAAATCGCATCACGTTTGGAACGCATAGGTGTGAACGACCTCCAGAGAAGCAATGTTATCTCCCTTGACAAGAGAATGAGTTTTGGAACACACCAGATTCGCATAAGTTGAACTGCAACTTCCTACAGTCAAAACATGCTGCTGAGTGAAAACCCGCAGGGCTGTCATTCATTCTGAATGGGACCCCCACACATCTAAAAAGGCAGTAGGTTTGGGGGTGCGGAAACCTCAGGGAAATTGCACGGTCAAAATAACCATCAGGTTTTAAAAAGGTGCACCTCTTTTTCTGGGAAACACAGGCACGCTAGTCCATTCAAATGAATGGGCTGCCATGCCCACGCAAACGCCAGCCGCAAACCCAAAAAGATGTGAGCCTAGGGTTAACCAGGGCTAAATTACTATAACTGGTTTAAACATTCACATTTATATGTCAAACTTGCCGTATGGAAGATTTAAAGAGAATAAAGATGACGGCGATCTGGAACAATGGCACAATGTAAAGTAATACACACGGTGTAATATAGAAACTTACCACGGGAAACAACATGCACTCTCTGAGGAAGTCCTGTGTCTCAAACAGATTGTAATCTTTAAACTCCACTGCAAGACAGAACACATCCCCATTCATTACCAGAAACATCAAAACATTTGCAAATAAAAAGCTGCAGTGTTAGTCCTATAGAGAATATTAGACTTTTAAATTAGGAGTTGGTATACGGGTGGGGACCTTCCAACACTCCAGCTGCCAAGGAGATGATGAGCTGTATTAGCCATGATAGGCATGCAGGTATTTGTGGTTTAGAGGGTCATTGTCTGCCCTTGACTACTCTAATATGACAGTCACCGAAAGACTTCGTAACATGCACTTGTCACCAATATTGATCAGGGATCAGGGTTACAATTTAGAAATTGCTTCTGATTGACTCCAAGCATTTGGCCAAAGGAAATGCACAAAATTAGCTAAATTGTAGACATTTTCTGTGATATGTATGAGAATCAACCGGAGGTCAATTTTGCAAAATGTTTACAAAATGTTGATGTTCATCCCGAATCTTGATACCAAAACATTATTACCTAATTATTTAAAACATTGACTGGGGAATTGGAAAATATAGCTTGTTCAATGATCATTGTTAAATAAACAAATTTCCAAAAACATGTAATTTACCGTCAATCTTTCAGAGCTTTTTGCAGTATATTAACAATTATATTTAGAATTCTTAGCCAATTATCAATACTTCTACCAAGACACCAACAATGGTGGTCTGCCATTTTCAGGAGATTGTGCATACCAGGGTCATTTCATTTTTTTTTTTAAAGGAGTTAAACATTAATGAGAACCTGTCATTAAAGAGATTATGAGGCTGTCCCTGTTGACCTCTTCTCCTAATAAATGCTAGTTGTCTCTGGTTCTGATGCCTTGCCTATAATGTGTCATGAACCCAGAACAGATCAGAAGTTAAGGATTCCAAACTCTTCTATGAATATCATTAGCGTGCTTCCTCTAGGTCTATGACTCAAAATTTAAAAATTCAGACAGATTCGAAAGGGGTAAAGCCTAACCTGTCTCCCTCTAAGTGTTTAAGTGACCCACACTCCCCTGGCCAAATTTCACTCTTGTATACTACTTTTATATCTAAACTCTCTTACTCTCCGCTTCCCTATCTCAAAGTCCTAGAGAGGGACGTGGACATTCGTTAAGAACTGCAAGAATGGAACCAAATTTGGTGAACCACCAAGTCTAGCTCTATACAGGCTGCAGCAGTTGAGACTACTTTAAAAGTTCTCCTCTGCTGCCATATGATACCTGCCAGACTAACCCGAGCATACCCATGTAACTATTCCTCTTGCTTCTGTAGCTGCCCAGACATGGGCTCCTATTATCAAATATGGTGGTAATGTGCCATGGTGCATAGGCTCTGGACCCAAGTTTGACATTTAGCATCCACTTCTGCAAAAATTCACTCATGCTACCGCAAGAAGCTCTTCGCAATTTAAGACCAGCTGAGATCACTCAGAAACAACATGCTCTGATGGTCCATGTCCCTACAGCCAAGAAGCAAATGATAGCAAAAGCATGGTTGTCTGATATGCTATCGATCACTGAGGTTAAAGCTTGCATGCAATGGGTTTTAATGAGAAACTCACAGCTAAACTGCACGGCACTATGCCAAAATGTAGGAGAGTTTGGGAACCCTGGAGTTCTCATTGTCTTCCACCACCTTCTTGAGGTTTAAACAACTAGGTTACAATAGTCAAGGATTACTCACTACCCCAAGGGTTGCCCCTGACCGCTGCCACCTCCCGTCCCCCCTTCCTCCCCATGCCTCTGTTTTTTCCCTTTTTTCTGTATCTTTTTCTCACTCCTGCTTCTGTACTATCTCATGAGCACCTATACTGCCCTTACATACAGTCAGGTCCATAAATATTGGGACATGGACACAATTCTAACATTTTTGGCTCTATACACCACCACAATGGATTTGAAATTAAACAAACAAGATGTGTTTTAACTGCAGACTGTCAGCTTTAATTTGAGGGTATTTACATCCAAATCAGGTGAACAGTGTAGGAATTAAAACAGTTTGCATATGTGCCTCACACTTGTTAAGGGACCAAAACTAATGGGACAATTGGCTTCTCAGTTGTTCCATGGCCAGGTGTGTGTTATTCCCTCATTATCCCAATTACAATGAGCAGATAAAAGGTCCAGAGTTCATTTCAAGTGTGCTATTTGCATTTGGAATCTGTTGCTGTCAACTCTCAATATGAGATCCAAAGAGCTGTCACTATCAGTGAAGCAAGCCATCATTAGGCTGAAAAAACAAAACAAACCCATCAGAGAGATAGCAAAAACATTAGGCGTGGCAAAACAACTGTTTGGAACATTCTTAAAAAGAAGGAACACACCGGTGAGCTCAGCAACACCAAAAGACCCGCAAGACCAAGGAAAACAACTGTGGTGGATGACCGAAGAATTCTTTCCCTGGTGAAGAAAACACACTTCACAACAGTTGGCCAGATCAAGAACACTCTCCAGGAGGTAGGTGTATGTGTGTCAAAGTCAACAATCAAGAGAAGACTTCACCAGAGTGAATACAGAGGGTTCACCACAAGATGGAAACCATTGGTGAGCCTCAAAAACAGGAAGGCCAGATTAGAGTTGCCAAACGACATCTAAAAAAGCCTTCACAGTTCTGGAACAACATCCTATGGACAGATGAGACCAAGATCAACTTGTACCAGAGTGATGGGAAGAGAAGAGTATGGAGAAGGAAAGGAACTGCTCATGATCCTAAGCATACCACCTCATCAGTGAAGCATGGTGGTGGTAGTGTCATGGCGTGGGCATGTATGGCTGCCAATGGAACTGCTTCTCTTGTATTTATTGATGATGTGACTGCTGACAAAAGCAGCAGGATGAATTCTGAAGTGTTTCGGGCAATATTATCTGCTCATATTCAGCCAAATGCTTCAGAACTCATTGGACGCCGCTTCACAATGCAGATGGACAATGACCCAAAGCATACTGCAAAAGCAACCAAAGAGTTTTTTAAGGGAAAGAAGTGGAATGTTATGCAATGGCCAAGTCAATCACCTGACCTGAATCCGATTGAGCATGCATTTCACTTGCTGAAGACAAAACTGAAGGGAAAATGCCCCAAGAACAAGCAGGAACTGAAGACAGTTGCAGTAGAGGCCTGGCAGAGCATCACCAGGGATGAAACCCAGCGTCTGGTAATGTCTATGCGTTCCAGACTTCAGGCTGTAATTGACTGCAAAGGATTTGCAACCAAGTATTAAAAAGTGAAAGTTTGATGTATGATTATTATTCTGTTCCATTACTTTTGGTCCCTTAACAAGTGTGAGGCACATATGCAAACTCTTGTAGTTCCTACACCGTTCACCTGATTTGGATGTAAATACCCTCAAATTAAAGCTGACAGTCTGCAGTTAAAGCACATCTTGTTCATTTCATTTCAAATCCATTGTGGTGGTGTATAGAGCCAAAAATGTTAGAATTGTGTCCATGTCCCAATATTTATGGACCTGACTGTATGTCCCGGGCCTTACCCTCTGCCTTAGGTTACCGTTATTATTATTATGAGCTGTCATCACTTCCATTTTTCTTGAGATTATTTCTGTAGGTTATGATTCATATGGCTTACGAGCCTATTTACGCTGTTACATTTGTCATTTTGAACTTCTTTATGACAAGTCTGTATGTCTTCAAGATAACCTGTCTGAAATGTTCAGATATTTTTATAATTACTTACAAAATTAAATAAAAATATTGAATTACAGAGCCAGTATCAATTTCATCCATTTTCACAAGGATGGCTGCAATGGCAGCCAACTTTTTTTTTTCTTATCCATAAGAGAGTCAGACCACCAAAGTCTTGAACTTGGTTCTTGGAAGAGGTTTCAGAATAAAATCAACCATCAGCTTTATATCTCTTTCAGGGATATTGTTGGTGAGATCTCTGTTATTAGATTCCTGGGCCAGCACATGAGCCTTTGGTACTAGAGATCTTTTGCTGGTAGTCTTCTGTACTTTAAACATCTGAAAACTATAAGTTTTTCTTTAAGAAACCCAAGGTGTTAAAAAAAAAATGAGTATGAAAGTTTCCAACAACAGAAAAGCTCACACTCACCTAGGTGTCCTATCACACATCTGTTGCAGTGCTGCAGCCACCGTTTCACTCGGCACTGCTGGGAGATGTTGGATATCTGTCCCCCACACTCTGTACAGTGGTTCCCCTATATCACTGCCAAATCACATAGTGACATAAGGGGTCGGAAAATGTAATCACAGCAGTGAGGATATAAGGTGGAACAGGAATGACAATTTTGGTGGGGGGGTCTCACTGATGAGATCCCAACAATGTAACAAATCCCTCCTAGTCTACACCTATAAGTAAAACATCCCCTTTAAGAAAACAAAAGTAAACATGTACACAATACTCCAGGTATAATTTAAGGATAAGAACAATGGTAGAAAAGCATTACCTTGAATGGCCAGGGCAGCTAGTCGGATGTACTGATCCACAGTACAGTGCACTTGTCCATCGTAGACATTCTTTCTTAACTGGAGGTAATACTGGTACCTGCAAGACAAACATTGTGTTATCAGTATTTAGTCAGAATACAGAAGAGCTCCCTAGAATACTCGTGACAGTGTGACATTTCCAACAAGAAGAATGATCAGGATAATTAGACAAAACAGCTTTTCTTAACGGTTGTGCCACCGCACTCTGGAGTGTCATGTGGGCTCTGCGGGGGTGCCATAGCAAAAAGCTAAAATGTGTATCAACTAAGGCAGGCAGGCGGATCAAGTGGATTGATTCAAGCCCACCTTATTTTGTGGGAGCCACAGGTTGTAAATACTTATCTCCTGTGCAGGGCCGGCCGCCTGCGTCCTACCAAATGGCAACATCATTGGTTGCAAAGGAGCATGTTGGATGTCTGCACAGCATCTGAAGATTGAGAAGGAGCAGATATGGCAGCACTGCAAGTCTTTCACCTGCTGTGGTATATGGCTGATGAAGACGCTTCTGCAGCAGGAATTTTGTTTGTCTGCTTACTGACCACTCTGGCACTGCATACAGATTACTGATCGCCCTTCCCATACATACAGATCACTGACCGCCCTTCCCATACATATAGATCACTGACCACAATGCCACTACATACAGGTCACTGACCGCCCTTCCCATACATACAGATCACTGACTGCCCTTTCCATACATATAGATCACTGACTACAATGCCACTACATACAGATCATAGCAATACATACAGATGACCACAATGCCACTACATATAGATCACTGACCGCCCTTCCCATACATACAGATCACTGACCACAATGCCACTACATACAGATCACTGACCGCCCTTCCCATACATACAGATCACTGACCACAATGCCACTACATATAGATCACTGACCACAATGCCACTACATACAGATCACTGACCGCCCTTCCCATACATACAGATCATTGACCACAATGCCACTACATATAGATCACTGACCACAATGCCACTACATATAGATCACTGACCGCCCTTTCCCATACATACAGATTACTGACCACAATGCCACTACATACAGATTACTGACCACAATGCCACTACATACAGATTACTGACCACAATGCCACTACATACAGATTACTGACCACAATGCCACTACATACAGATTACTGACCACAATGCCACTACATACAGATTACTGACTGCCCTTCTACTACATACTTCTCACTGACCGACCTGCCACTACATACTGATCACTGACTGCCCTGCTGCTACATACTGATCACTGACTGCCCTGCCGCTACATACTGATCACTGACTGCCCAACCACTACATACTGATCACTGGACTGCCCAACCACTACATACAGTTGTGTTCAAAATAATAGCAGTCAGACATCACTAACTGGATCAATCACTGTTTTTGGTAGAAATTATATTAATAAATAATTATTAATTTATTAAATAATTTACTAGCAGGTGTAGCAGGGTAATAGAAATCCAACAGACCCAACAGTCATGACATGCATGCTGCTGATTCTGTGTAATCGAAGCACTAATTGAAAGGGGCATGTTCAAAATAATAGCAGTGTGGAGTTCTATTAGTGAGGTCATTCATTCTTTGAAAAACAGGTGGCAATTATTGCCCTTATTTAAGGAAGGAAGGCAGCAAATGTTGTACATGCTGGTTACAGTACATTTCTCTCTGAAATTCTGAGGAAAATGGGTCGTTCCAGACATTGTTCAGAAGAACAGCGTACCTTGATTAAAAAGTTGATTGGAGAAGGGAAAACATATAAAGAAGTGCAGAAAATGATAGGCTGCTCAGCTAAAATGATCGCAAATGCTTTAAAACGGCAACCAAAACCTAAAAGGCGTGGAAGAAAGCAAAAGAACTACCATTCAAATGGATAGAATAGCCAAAATGGCAAGGACTCAGCCAACTATCAGCTCCAGGAAGATCAAAGAAGGTGTAAAGTTCCCTGTGAGGACTGTTACAACTAGAAGACTCCTATGTGAAGCCAAGCTATCTGCAAGAAGCCCCCGCAAAGTCCCACTGTTGAAAAAAAGACATGTGCTGAAGAGGTTACAATTTGCCAAAGAGCACATTGACTGGCCTAAAGAGAAATGGCGCAACATTTTGTGGACTGATGAAAGTAAGATTGTTCTTTTTGGGTCTAGTGGCCGGAGACAGTTTGTCAGACGACCCCCAAACACTGAATTCAAGCCACAGTACACTGTGAAGACAGTGAAGCATGGTGGTGCAAGCATCATGATATGGGGATGTTTCTCATACTACGGTGTTGGGCCTATTTATCGCATACCAGGGATCATGGATCAGTTTGAATACATCAGAATACTTGAAGAGGTCATGCTGCCTTATGCTGAAGAGGAAATGCCCTTGAAATGGGTGTTCCAACAAGACAACGACCCCAAACACACCAGTAAAGGTGCAACATCTTGGTTCCAGACCAACAAGATTGACGTTATGGAGTGGCCAGCCCAATCCCCGGATCTTAATCCAATAAAAAACTTGTAGGGTGACATCAAAAATGCAGTTTCTGAGGCAAAACCAAGAAATAGAGAAGAACTGTGGAATGTAGTCCAATCATCCTGGGGTGGAATACCTGATCACAGGTGCCAGAAGTTGGGTGACTCCATGCAACACAGATGTACAGCAGTTCTCAGAAACAGTGCTTATACAACTAAATATTCATTAAGTGATTCAAAGGAAAGCAAAATCTTCAAACATTTTCAGTTTATATATAGTGAATGTTTGAGTTTGTATAAAGAAGAATACAAACACTGCTAATTGTCTAATATTCACTTTTCTTCAATTTTTTTTAGAGGAACAACACAAATTTGATATATTTTTCTTCACGTTTTGATTTGGAATAGAATGTGTAGTGTTCCCAATGCATTTGTGTGTATGGAAATAAAAGCGATTAGAAGGATTTTGAGCTTTAACCACATGCCGCCCAGCCACTGTAGAAATACAGCGGCAGGGCGGCAGGGCGGCACGGCAGGGCAAAACCACATTTTAAAACGTGTGTTTTTAAAAATGGGTAGGGGGCGCACGCGAGGTGCGCCGCCGCCCTACCTGTGCCGCCGATCACGGCTGTGGATGTCAGTCGCCGGGTCACAGCCGGTCGTTACTGGCTATGTCCCGGCGATTAGCGGCAATCAGTAACAGAGAGCACAGCTGCAGTAGCTCCTGACAAGCTGATCGGGACAGAAGAGTTTATCTGTCCCGATAAGCAGTGTTCCCTGCAGTACACACCCCCGCCCCCCTAGTAAAACACTCCCCTCACACAGTTAACCCTTACACTGAATAATAAAGTTAACCCCTTCCTCCCCAGTGCCATTAGTACAGTGTCAGTGTTTTTTATTTGCACGGATCACTGTATTGGTGTCACTGGGGATGTCAGTGACCCCAAGTCAGTTCCCCCCAATGTCAGAATGTCCGCCCCAGTCCCGCCATAAGTCGCTGATCGCCGACCATAAGTTGCTGATTGCCGCCATTATATATAAAAAAAAAAATTAAAAATCCCACAATCTTTCCCGCTATTTGTAAATGCTATAACTTTGACGTAAACCAATTAATTTACACGTATTGGGTTTTTTGTAGCAAAGACATGTCGCAGAATGCATTTTGGCAGAAATTTATGACTAAATTTGATTTTTAAATTTTTTTTGCTGGACATGTGTTAAGGCAAAAAGTCCAAAATATTTTTTTTTCCTCAAAATTGTCAGCCTTTTTTTTTTTATATCGCAAAAAATAAAAACCGCACAGGCGATCAAATACCACCGAAAGAAAGCTCAATTTGTGGGAAAAAAAAAAAAAAGGATGTAAATTTCATTTATGTACCGTATTGCATGACCGCGCAATTTTCCGTTAAACTAGCGCAGCGCTGTATAGCAAAAAAATGGCGTAAATTGCAGTATCTATACCATAGTTTGTAGACGCTATAACTTTCACACAAAGCAATCAATATACACTTATTGGGATTTTGTTTACCAAAAACATGTAGCAGAATACATTTTGGCCTAAATTTATAACTAACTTTGAGTTTACTATATATTTTTTATAGCTGAAAGTAAAAAAAATATCGTTTTTCTTCAAAAATTTTTGGTCTTTTTTTGTTTATAGCGTGAAAAATAAAAAGCGCACAGGTGATCAAATACCACCAAAAGAAAGCTCTATTTGTGTGAAAAAAAGGACATCAATTTCGTTTGGAAGCAGCATTGCATGACCGCGCAATTATCAGTTGAATTAGTGCAGCGCCGAGTAGCAAAAAAAGAGGCCTGGTCATTAAGGGGGGAGCTCAAGTGGTTAATTACTTTTTTCAACACACTGCTATTATTTTGAACACAACTGTACTTCTCACTGACCGCCCAGCCACTACATAGTGAACAATGACAGCCCTGCCACTACATATTGATCACTGACCTCCCTGCCACCACATAATTCTTGCTGTCCGCCTTGCCACTACATACTTTTCACTGTCTACCCTGCCGCTATATACTTCTCAGTGACAGCCCCGCCGCTACACACTGATCACCGCCCGCCCCGCCGCTACACACTGATCACCGACCGCCCCGCCGCTACACACTGATCACCGACCGCCCCGCCGCTACACACTGATCACCGACCGCCCCGCCGCTACACACTGATCACCGACCGCCCCGCCGCTACACACTGATCACCGACCGCCCCGCCGCTACACACTGATCACCGACCGCCCCGCCGCTACACACTGATCACCGACCGCCCCGCCGCTACACACTGATCACCGACCGCCCCGCCGCTACACACTGATCACCGACCGCCCGCGCCGCTACACACTGATCACCGACCGCCCCGCCGCTACACACTGATCACCGACCGCCCCGCCGCTACACACTGATCACCGACCGCCCCGCCGCTACACACTGATCACCGACCCGCCCCGCCGCTACACACTGATCACCGACCGTCCCGCCGCTACATACTGATCACCGACCGCCCTGCCGCTACATACTGATCACCGACCGCCCTGCCGCTACATACTGATCACCAACCGACCTGC